TCCCATGAGAGAGAGAGAGAGAGAGAGACAGAAGTGCAAGTGCCTCTGTCTCTGTCTCTGTCTCTCTCTCTCTCATGGGACTTGCCGGAGGGCCATGGGAGGGCCGCATTTACATAGAGCAGGGAGGGCTGTTCGAGGGCCGGATTAAACCGGGCCGCGGGCCGCAAATGGCCCGCGGGCCGGACTTTGGACATGTCTGCTGTATAATAATATCCATTGTATCTGAGGTCCATTAAGTCAAGGTATCACTGAAATAACAAGTAATAATGTTAGTCCAAACTCTGAAAAATAAAGTTCACCTCAGAACATTTTATTTTTATAACCCTTTTGTTATTTCAATATTCTCTTCCTTGGCATAAATTAACATTGAAAAATATTCTTTTGATCAAAGTAAGCAGAAATAATGAATTAGGCTTATACAATATATCCTTATGGTTTATCTTAGACCAACCCAAATCATCTTTCAGTCTATAATCCAAAACAATAGCAGTCAAATGGTAGTGTCAACTCTACAATGAGCATGGCTGAAGCCATTTTTTCTTCTCATTCTAGGTTGCCACATAGAATGGAGGGAGGGAGGTTGCCCAGGTGCTTCGTTAGTCAAAATAATCTTCTGTCTCGTGGGAACCAAGGTCATCTGCTGCTCCCGAGACTAGGGACTGGGCGTTGCATAAAAAGCCCGCCAAATAAGTATATTGGGGAACGTAGTTGCTTGCATAGTTTTATGGGTGGGACATGTAATTTTGTAATTGGGCAATTGTTACTTGTGTATTCAGACTTGGTTTCACTTTTGACTGTGCCGATACTTTGTAAATAATAAACATGTTCTTTGAGGAATTCTCAAGCCTCGGAGTTCTGCTTTATTCATCTCTGTCTGTTGGAACCATGACATCAAACCAAGTCTCTTAAAACTTTAGTTTCTTTTGGGATGCTGGCCCCTACCACCTACCCATCCTTTGGGAGAGTGATAAAGACTCGACGAAGATTTGTGGATGGAGGAAAAGAGTGGAGCCATTGCTGGCCGGAATGGAACTCCAGCTGTTGGAGCACAAGCAGCCGCTCCAGCCACAGAGGAGGGGTCATTGGCAGGGGCTCGGCCAAAGTTCCGGTTGATCCAACCTGGGAAGTTGGTACCGCAAGGAGGAACTACTATCCTAGTGGACCTTTATCAAGCCGAAGCTGCCTCTCAGCGCAGGAGTACTCCTGTTGCCACTGAAGAGGAACTCCTGTTGCTGCCGTCCCAGGGGTTTTTGTCTGTGGCATACCAGAAGGGAAAGGGATCAATCGGAGGAGTCGACTCCAGAGACTGGAAGTTCCAGTCTGCAGTGCATAGCCCCTTGCTCGAGCAGCTGAAGGAGAAGTTTGGGAGATGGAGGTAAAAGAGACGGTTCCTGTCACCCAGGGTGTGCGCGCCATGGGGGGAATGCTAAGGGCTACCCATCTCTTCCACTCCCTCGCTGGAATCCCAGGCTGACTGCGGGAGCCCGTGCTGCCTCACCTATTCCCCAGCCAGCTGCGATCTCAAAGTCCTGTATCCCAATCAAGCCCACTGCCGTGGCCTCAGGTTGCAGTCCAGGAGC